ACTCTTTCCTGCCTATGCAGGGGGTCGGACTCGATGATCTATTGAGGTCCCTTCCGACCCTAACGTCTATGAATCTCTTCTTTTTCAACTCTGTGGAAAAAGAATGCAGGTATGATGATAAGCCTAAGAGTCTCAGCCTTTTTCATTGATTTCTCTCATTTAAGCCTATTTAAGGAAGAATTGGACATGTTTCTGCAATTTTGGGTAGTATAGCTTGCTGTTCAACATTTCAAGGAAGGGTTCTTTATCTTTTGCTTTCTTCAACTCTCACAAATCTGAAACTGGTAAATGTATCGAATATTTGGGCATTACATTGCAGTGAATATCTAGTCTTAATTGGGAGGGATTTATTTGTGACCCAAATTTAGTATACTACTTTCCCATGAAACTGGGAAGTCAGGAAAGAATATATTTCATGCTTATAGTTACAACTTGGCTTTATTAGTTTTGGTATTTTCCTACTCCTCTCAATGAACATGCATATATCCTCTAGTCTCAGAACTGTTTGAAATCTTTCATCTAGAACTGGGATTAGTGCATTTGACTGGATAGGAAGACCCAAATCTTCAGTTACAAGCTATGATTGCTCAGTACAGCTCTGGGAGGTGGCTACAAAGGATAGCTGAGGGGGCATGAAGATTCTTGTGTTGTTCGTGTGGTGGCAACAGGCAATTACTTTGGATCTGAACCAAGACTGATGGGCCACATTCCCATGAGTGTGCACGTGCAGCAGCACACATCTTCGGGACAAATAGCAGCGGCACGTGTGCCACTGCTTTGTCCCTTGGTATACCTCTGCATGTGCACTCTGGCACATGGCGAAGGGACCCAGGTGGGATAGAGGAGGCTGGGGCCAGCAGCTGTGTTGGCCCTAGCAGCCTTACCTGGGGGCCTCCCAGGGCAGCAGTGATACCAAACTGGTCAGAGCCTGGCTAGCAGCCGCTCTGGCTCTGCCTGGCCAGACTCCAGTTTCTAGCAGTGTACACTGCTGCCACATGTGCCACACCACTTTTTTTTAGGAGTGGCTTTTTTTTTGATGCCGGAATCTCCCAGTGTCAAAAACTGTGCTGTTAATTAGCAGCGCAGTGCACAGGTATGCACCACAAACTGGATATGCACACTCGTGAGGACGCACCCATGGAGTCTCCCTTTTAAACCCTCTGAAGATGTATTCTTATACCCAAAACCTTTAGCCACTGACAGAGCCAGTGGGGGCTGCTTTTCCATTTAAATTATAGTATATATGGCTAAGTGGTCTTACAACCCTATTCCAAATTATTTTCCAAACTAAATGTTCTTGATTTTTTTTTCTTCTTTTAGTTAAATCAGCCATTCTTTTTTTCCTCAGTGTTTCCAAAGTTTCCTAATTTACCTTGCAAGGCTAGATTGTATAAACTATTTAAAGTTATTACTTTTTTGTATTTCTTTTATAATAGCTCCATTCATCCTTTAAAGAGTTCTTTCCTGCAGTTGATCCAGATGTACACACTTGTTCAGCCACAATAGACATTGGAATTTGACTCGGATGTTCCAGCAAAAGAAATGGTAAAGCCAGAGCTCAGTGGCATGAACAGTATGTGATGACATGTGCTAGAGATCCAAATTCAGGTTGCACAGGCAACCTAAATGTGACTTTTTCTACATGTTCCACTTTTTGCTTTGGAAGTTGAATCTATTCCTACTAGGGCTGTCAATTAATTGGTGTTAATGTGCAGGGCCAGATT